ATATTTTTAACAGTTTGGGGAGTCTGTTATAATACATTTTTAACAGTTTCGGGAGTCTGTTATAATACATTTTAACAGTTGTGTCTTTTCGGATATGACGCATTGAAAAAGCTGCACATGCGCAGAAGTGAAATGCGTCATATCCGAAAAGAAATATACCTGACATCTCAAAAACCGGATCAAACGAGATGCGCTATATCAGAAAACTCATATACTACTTCTTCTTCGAAGGGGAGTACGATTGTTGCGCTGCTGGTATTGGAATCCCATCTTCATGTTGTTTAGGGTGCTGAGGTTCTGTTGTGCTTTCTTGAGATTTTATTTGAGATCGGTATACATGTAAAGAGGATCTTGGAGTTTGGGATGGTTTTGTTGGCTGTAGCGATTAATTTCTGGGCTTGGTTAAAAGAGGTGTTTGGTAGCTGATCACGGTTGTTGAGGCGTACATGAAGAATAACGGTAGTAGGTTTGGGATCAATGTCGTATGATTCAAGGATAGACTGTATGTGATGGATTTTGGGCACCGGGGTAAGAATTTATTTCAGTGTCTGAACTGGTTTTGGTTAATCGATTCAGGTTAGATGATCCAATAATTAAGTAGATTTTTTCAGCGCAGGTAGATTCCATAATAATTTGTCCTTTGTTTGGTGATAATAGGGTTTGGTAGCGGATATAATGGTCGTCGACGAGGTGATTGGTACTGGTTTGGTAGTTGTTAGAAATGTAGCATTGGGCACGGACTGGAATCTTCTGATAAATTTTGAACATTTAAAGGTCAAATTGAAATAGATGGAAAGATATTTCATGATGGACAATACGAACAAGATATGAGACTTCTTGGTTTCAACTCCAAAACGTCGACGAGGTGATTGGTAATGGTTTGGTAGTTGTTAGAAATGTAGCATTGGGCACGGACTGGAATCTTCTGATAAATTTTGAACATTTAAAGGTCAAATTGAAATAGATGGAAAGATATTTCATGATGGACAATACGAACAAGATATGAGACTTCTTGGTTTCAACTCCAAAACTTTTCATAATATCTTTTCAAGTTTCGATATCAATCCTGATGCTACGAATTGGTATTTTACAGGAAAAATAATTTTACGTTAAGACAATTTCAAAGAAATGAAAAGATCAAACGTTAGTAGAGGAACCGAACTGAACTAATTCCGATAACTGAATATAAAGGTAAAGATAGTGGACCACAGTCATATACGCCCACCACGGCATGCGGGTGGTAAATATTCAAGATTTTGGGGCAAGGGCAATAACTCTTCTTCTAACGGTCGACTTTGATCTTCGTTTTATGAATATGTATACACATACCGAATTTCATTTTGATTCCATCAAAAAGTCTAGTTTTTAGAGCGTTTACAAAGCAAATGTTGACGGACAAACCGACGGACCTTTGTATCGTGAATATGTATGCACATACCGAATTTCATTTGATTCCTTCAAACACTCTAGTTTTTAGAGTGTTTACGAGCAATTGATGTTGATAGAAGCACTTACTCTATAGAGGTTAAAGGGCGATAACTCCTCAAAACTGACGTAGGAGACCTAAATCTTGAAAATGCTTTAAATTTAATCAGTAGTAAACTAAACTTGCTCAAACCTTTCGATTTAGGTCCAATACCATCCATTTTAAGTTTCATTAAAATCGGTTGAAAACTAAGAGAGTAATAGCATATTCAAGATTTTGGGGCAAGGGCAATAACTCTGCTTCTAAACGTCGACTTTGATCTTCGTTTTATGAATATGTATACACATACCGAATTGCATTTGATTCCATCAAAAAATCTAGTTTTAGAGCGTTTACAAAGCAAATGTTGACTGACGGACGGACCTTCGTTTCATGAATATGTATGCACATACCGAATTTCATTTGATTCCTTCAAAAACTCTAGTTTTAGAGTGTTTACGAGCAATTGATGTTGATAGAGGCACTTACCGTATAGAGGTTAAAGGGCGATAACTCCCCAATACTGACGTAGGAGGCCTAAATCTTGAAAAAGCCTTAAATTTAATCAGAAGTAAACTAACCTTTTTCAAACCTTTCGATTTAGCTTCTATAACATCCATTTTAAGTTTCATCAAAATCGGTTGAAAACTAAGAGAGTAATAGCATATTCAAGATTTTGGGGCAAGGGCAATAGGTCAAATTCAAACTTGATCTTCGTTTATGAATATGTATACACATACCGAATTTCATTTGATTCCATCAAAAAAAAATAGTTTTTAGAGCGTTTACAAGCAAATGTTGACGGACGGACGGTGAGGGGTGTCGACAATATACGTCCACATAGCGAGATGCGTGCGTATAAAAATTGATTCATACCAACAGATGGTAACTGTTTTATCAAATGTGTAAATCATGTTTTGAACAAACATTTAAGAAATATATTTCAAGATCAACAGTTTTTCAAAAGCAAAAAGAAAAGGAGTAATGACAAAAACTAGAATTAATGAGTTCAATAAGAGATATGATACTTCATTTCAAATTGATAATCCCAAAAATAGAAATTTACTTATAAGAAGAAATAAAATAAGTTTAGGTATTAAAGAAATTATAAACAACTATGGAAAACGTGTAGAGACGATAATGAGGTTAAACAAGTCTCACCTTTAAAACTGAACGTGTTTTCAGATATATGTGATGCTGCTTTGTTCGCTTGGGATTGTGAAACATATCCAGAAAGTGAAAAGCGCAAAGCAATTCCTTATTCCAGTACGTTAATTAATTTAGAACACTAAGGAAACAGTTAAAGACGATAAAAAGTAACTCTCCACATTTAAATCTTACCGATAATATTCCAGAAAAATTTTATAATCAACTAATGAATAGAGTAGAAATATTTGTGGATAAAGATTGTAGAGATCAAATGTTTCAATATTTAGGTCAATATAATAAAAAATATTAACATTGATTTCTCATAACAGTATTGGTTTTGATAAATGGATTATACTTAAAAAGAAAGCAATGAAGCTATCACATTGTCCACTACTAACACAGAGAGGTATTCTGTCTTTACCTTTATCTAAACCATTCACCAATGCAGATCTACAGAACAAATGGAAAAACAGATAGAAATAACAACCGATAAAAATTATTTACAAAATATTAAGTTCACGTGTTCCTATCAACATGAAAAATCCAGTTTGGCGACATGGAGGAATTCGTCTAATCTACCAATGAATTTGAGAAAGATTATGGATGTAGATATTTCTAAATATACCGAAGAAAATTGGGAATCTTTAAGACACGATATGCAAAAAGGTATACCCTGAGGTTTGGAAAGAAAAATGTAGAAAAAGTTTACTAACATACACACCCTTTTATAAGATATTTTATCACATAATCTATTAAAGGAGGAATATGATATAAAATCATTTACAACAGATAATTTGTAAGGAATAAAAGGAATATACAGAGCTCAACAGTGATAACATAATTGTTTATTGAAAGAATATAGTAAAAGTAATAAAGATAAAACAGAGGTTACTTCAAAACTTAAAAAAATAAACGAGAAACGTTCTAAAATAATGACGTTTGACGATCAAAGAAGGTAAATAGGAAACTGGTAATAAAATTAGGTTTAGAAATTGTTTCTGTTCAGACGTTTTGGAAGGTGTTGATATTCAAGAAATAGTTAAAGCTGGTGGAAGAATTCTTAGAATATTAGATGGTATAGTATTTCAATACAATTTGAAAACTCCGCCATATAGAGATAACATTTTAATTTTGAGAGATTTAAGATATCAATACAAAACGGATGGTGATATTGTTGGTAGTAATTGCTTGAAATTATTAGGTAATATGGTAGCAATTGCATGAAATTATTAGGTAATTCCTTGTATGGTAAATCAATTCAGAAAGATATATCTACAACCAGACATGTATGGAATGAATCAACTTTACAGGCTATGAAAAACTAAATGATACTCAATATATTGTAGAAACAGGCATTGAAGAAAGAGAAATAATCTCAACAATTAGTAAATCTATACGACTAACACCTAGTCATTTGGGGTCATTCGTATTGTCACCAGACATGAGTTTTTAACATTGAACAAATTCAACCATAAATTGCGAAAAAGTAAAATTTAACTTACTTCATTTTTCTTTTCCAATTTGTATGTTCTTTCATTTAAGACCAAAGTCGTCAAAATCAGATTAAAAAAATTTCCGAAAAATGAAAATGACGGCAAATTACCATGACTAGTAAATGTCTCTGGTTTTCTAATTCATTAGGAGAGTTACCTATTAGTGTAAGGTTTAGTGACGTTCATACATTTACACGGGAAGTGGGTTAACTGAAAGTTTACACCTAATTTCGTGAAAACCGGAACTGATACCATTTTTTTTTAACTATGCCAATTTGTTTTCTGTCGTGATCTGTCAATGCAATCGGACAAATAGCCAAGAAAATAGAAGAATTTGGTCAATATTTGCAAAATTCAGCTCAAAAAAATGTGTTATGTATTTTCGAAATTAACATTTTTAACTGATATCAGATCAAATATTCTTGCGAGATACCAAAAATAAGATGCAAAATCGCTCCAAAAATACGCCTAGAGACAATTTGTTACTTTTTGTCATAATATGCATATGTTCCAATATATATTTATTTATTTGCTACAGAGGTAGGTCATATGCATTGCAAATGTCGCGGAAAACTATTACAGTTACTGTAAAATCATCTATATATTTTTTTTTAAATTACGAAAACAAAGCATAACGATATAACGAACGCACTGCAATATACAGAAAGAAACAAAGCGTGACAAATCGATTTCGATTTGATGCAACAAAGAATTACAATCCCATGCAGTCGTTTAAATATCAAAAATATGAAAATAACATTGAGCCACCAAAAACAGATTTGACAAACTAAACAGAAATATATAATTTCAAATTATCCGACCTGTTGATTGCAGAGCCAAGCCTACACAAAAAACACCTGACGATGTAACAAATGTTGAACTGAAAAGCTTTACGTCATAAATGCCCTAAAGAACACATCGTAAAACAAACGCTAAATTATTAGTAGCTCAGCTTTGTATAGTTACCAAAATTTATATCAAATATTGCTTTTACCATGGTGACAAATCTTGAAAACTAGGGATACGAAAGTTACATGTAAATTTTCAATTGCCTAAAAAGTGACATTTTGTGTCTTGCCCTATTAGTGATGAAATCACATCCGTATATCACGTCTGAGGAACTAATAGAGCCAGATTTGTTGTGTCATGTTTAACACAGGCGTGTTTCTGATTGGTTTGCAAAAATATTGATGTATGATTATGACACTATTGGGCAAAATTCAACCGAATATGATTTACATACTAATTGTGTCAGATCATAGATATGAGGTGTTGCAATCTACAGAAAATAACCGAAACGAAACATCTGCAATTTAATCAAACTACATCTACCTACATCAACAAACTAAAGGAATTCCCCTTGTTTGGCATATTCGCGTTTATAAGTTTATTATTTTGGAATATGCCATTTTGCATGAGAAGTGATTTATTTGAATTTGATCATAAAATGTACAATTTCAATAATAACGTGCATGCCTACAAAAAAAAGAAAAGAACTAGAGCCACACGTGGCACAGAGTGGGACTTTGCAAATGTAGCAAAATGCAAAAGACTCAGAAAAAATCAACCTTCTACGATAATTACATCACGCGCAAGAGCAGTCTAAAGTTGAGAAGAATTCTTTGGAAGATTGTTATAACGGAAGTAGACAAACCTCACAAATGAAAGTATCAGAAGACAGCCAAGGTCAATGACATTTGACATTGAAAGGGAGACGGTCAACAAAGGTCAAGGTTACTAGATACAAGTCATCAAAATTTTTAAATATATACGACTATAAAACCGGAAGTTGAGATAGGACAGCAAATATAAAAGTATAAATAGATAGCCAAGGTGAATGACCTTTGATCCTACAAAAATCAGGGTCAAAAAAGGTCAAGATCAAAAATTGAAAATTTATAATTTTCAAAACCTGTTCTTTTTTTTTAGATATAAAGCTGAAACAATGGAACTTCTAAGACAAAGTGGCTCAACGGATGAAGTAATTGTATGCAAAGTTCCATTTTAAAGAAATTTATACGTTGCGCGTTATGTCCCTTGCCAAAATTGTCAATAATGAGTAATTTAACCCGGATGTGCTACGTTCACCTCAATTTCTTTTGCATAGGTTAATTGATATTCTGAATGTTATGTTGTGTTCCAAATTTAAAGCTTCTACATCATACAGGTCAAAAGATATAGGTCAACAAGAGTCAATAAAGATCAAAATAGAAAATTGGAAATATGGAAATTTCAAAACCCGTTCCTTTTTTGGAAATATAAAGCTGAAACAATTGACCTATTAACACAAACTGGCCAAAATAGTGAGGTAATTGTGTGCAAAGATCCTTTTTGAACAAATGTATCCTATGCGAGTTATGCCCCTTTCCCAAAATGTAAACAATTAGTAATTCAACCCGGATGTGCCACGCCCACCTCAACTTTTTTGTCATAGGTTAATTTATATTCAAATTGTCTTGTTGTGTTCCAAGTTGCAATGTTCTACATAAAATAGGTCATAAGATATATACACACCAAGCTCAAAGAAACGGAAATATTGTAAAAAAAAACTCAAATTTGAAAAATTCACAAATTTCAATTTTGCTTTAAAAAACGATTGTTATAAATCACGTGAAAGAGCATGAAAAGCACATTAAGAATCCGAAAAAATTAACCCTCTAGGTTAATTAGGTCACGTGCTAGAGCAGTCCAAAGTTGCGAATTCGGCTGTTTTCGGACAGCTATAAAACCGGAAGTACATGTCGGAGGTCAAATATCAAAGTATTGATATTGATAGCTAAGGTCAACGACCTTTGACCTTATGAAGGTCAAGGTCATCAAAGTTCAAGATCACGAGATATGACCCTTCAAACTTTGAAAAAATTGCAAAAAAGCAAAATTGAGAATCAAAAAACGGCTTCCTAATGTCATGGTTTTTTTTTTTTATCTTCTTTCATTTGACACCAAAATCATTCAAATCGGATGAGCCATTATGTCTGAATAAAAATCGAATCATTTCAGAAAAATCAAAATGGCGGCCAAAGTTTCACGTTTGTTCCGGATTTTTTTTTCTTCGTTTTTTGTCATAACTTTGTCTATTTATCAGCATAAAATTTTTTGTCCTATACAAATTACACCGGAAGATATTCAACCGGAAGTGAACATCGTTTTCCTGTTTAAACCGGAAGTGAAATTGAAAATTTGACTGTACCATTTTGTTTACATTCTTAAACAGTCTTTGCTCAATTTTTTTCAGATTAATCAGACAAAAAGCAAAAAAAATGAAAAAAGCAAAATCTGGCAAAAAAATTGTCTGCGACAAATTTTCGAATTTTGAAATTTTGAAACTGCTATTCTTTCAGATTTTAACAGTAGATTCCAAAAATGCAAACCCAAAGAAAATCGGCCAAAAATACGACTTCTAGAGCCGATTATCTATTCTTGCACATATTGAACTGTGGCACTTCCGGTTTTGCAAAAAATGGTTGAATGGTTGCTGCAACAATTGTAGTCTAAGCTCAGGAAGGTGTGTAAAAATCGAAAAAAACAAAAAAAAAACAAAAAAAAAAGAATTGACATTTCGATAACAAAGTCCGACAAAAATCTTAATATGACGTAAATGTTAGGTTATCATTCTTAATTTTGGCAGTGTTTTTTAATTAGACACTTTTGTCACCAAAAGTAAAACTTTAATATGTGAAATTCAAGTAGATTGTTAGCAACGCAATGGTCTTCGGTAAGCTTACATAATTGAATTTTCGTCTGTGAATCATTAAATCAAAAGTATATTATATAATACATTTTACTTTATTAACTTTGGCTAGACAATAATTGTATTCTATATTATACAAAATATTTTTAATATATATTATTTGCCGTGTATAAACTTGATAAACCTGAATTTGTTTTAAAAGGGTCAATTTGTTTATTTTTACGTATGCATTTGAAAGTAGTGTTTGGTGTCGGGCACTGTTAGTCTTGACATCAAAATCTTCAAAACAAAATGCCTTAAAGCTCTCCACATACTGCGATTCTTATCCAATACTGACTGGTGAGCAACCGAAAAGTCCTTCTATTACACCATACACCATCTATACACCACCAAGTTCTCAGAATCAATTTGGGTGCGTCAAGCATTAAAATAGCATGTTTGCAAGACCATCCTGCCAACCTTATTTATACCTTACATCTACCTGTACGAGGCAAAGCAAGAGATAACATCTGTTAATATAGTTTATGATTAACAAAAAATAGAATGTCGGGCTCTACTGCATGAGTTCACAAAATTGATTACAGAATGTTCCAATGAAAAAATTATTCAATGGTGTTTGCTATATAAATGCAGCCTATAATAGTAAGTTTTAACTCGTTAACAGTTACCTACAGAAGTCATTGTCACAATGTTCTTCAGTCAACTTGTCGGCTTGACTTTATTGTCCTACAGTTTAGACGTCAGAGCTTTAGGTTAGTAATATTTAGAAAACAGTTTCGTTTAAGATATATATATTATCTTCACTATTTATCACTTTTGCTTTCTGAATTATTATTATCTTTAGTTTGTGCTTTAAATCATTAATTAAATTTGGTTTTCAATTAAGATTTTTGATTGTCGTTTTTCAGTATTTTAATAAAATGTGCTTTTTAAAACCAGGAATAGACAATTGTGTCAAAACATAAAGTACTTTACTTGACTTACTTCTATAATTTATAGATGCTTTGTATAAAAAAATGTTTTACTATCGTTCATGACATTGTGAATGTGTTCGTGATGCATGATAGACTGAATGAATGTTTGAAAAAAATAATTTATTTTCAAATAATAGTAAATAAAAAAAGCTTTTCTACCACAGTCCCGTTCCTATGGCGATATTTTAAACCAATCGAAGCGTAATTGTCAGAATCTAGCTTTTTAATCTATAGGCCTACTACTATACTAAATTCTAAATTTGTCTAAAGTGAATATAGCAATGGGTAAAGAAACAAGACAAAGTTCAACATATTTTAGATTATTATCATCATATGCTGTAGATGGTAATGTTGATAAAAATTGGTTTCATGATTCTTGTGCAGTTACTAATCAAAAGAGTGGTCCTACATGGTGGTGTGTTAACTTGTTAGCTCCTGAACGATTCCAAACTATTGTGCTGTATAATAGTGACTCATGTGAGTATTAAATATGATAGTTAAAACGACTTTGAGCATTACATACATTCCGAAAGGATACTTTGGCCTCCATTTTGATTTTCCTGAAATGCGTCAAAATCTATTCCGAGATAACGATTTATCTGATTTAAATGATTTTGGTGTCAATTGAAAGAACACAAAAAATAAATAACCTCCAAGAAACCCGATTTTTTATTTTCGCTTTTGCTTTTATGCAATTTCCGGTTGAAATTTTTGAAAGTTTGACGGCTTATTTCACATTTTGATTCTCAGACATTTTACCTCCGACATGTACTTCCGGTTTAAAAGCTGTCCGAAAAAAGCCAAATTCGGAACTTTGGACTGTTCAAGCACGTGACCTAACTAACCTAGACGGTTAATTTTTTGGGATTCTTAACGTGCTTTCCAGAGATATATAACAATTGTTTTTCAAAGCAAAATTCGTGATTTTTTCAAATTTGAGTGTTTTTTTTTTACAATTATTGTCTCTTTGAGCTTGGTGTATGTATATCTTATGACCTATTTTATGTAGAACATTGAAATTTGGAACATTACTAAACAATTTGAATATGAATTCATCTATGACAAAAAATTGAGGTGGGCGTGGCACATCCGGGTTGAATTAGTAATTGTTTACCTTTGGGTGAAGGGGCATAACTCGCATAGAATACATTTGTTCGAAAAGGAACTTAGCACACAATAACCTCATCCTTTTGGCCAGTTTGTGTTAACAGCTCAGTTGTTTCATCTTTATAGATCCAAAAAAGGAACGGGTTTTAATATTTCCATATTTTCAATTTTCGATTTTGGCCTTTAATGACTTCTCTTGACCTATATCTTTAACCTGTATGATGTAGAACTATATCTTTTGATCTGTATGATGTAGAAGATTTAAATTTGGAACACAACAAAGCATTCAGAATATCAATTAACTTATGCCAAAAAAATGAGGCGGGAGTGGCACATCCGGGTTAAATTACTCATTATTGACATGAGAACATTCGCTCAAAAGGAACTTTGCGTACAATAACTTCATCTCTTGGGTCACTTTGTCTTAGAAGTTCGATTGTTTCAGCTTTATAGTTAAAAAAAAAAGGAACATGTTTTGAAAATTCAAAATTTTCAATTTTTGACCTTTTTTAACCTTGACCTTTTTAGGATCGAAAGTCATTCACATTGGCTATCTATTTATACATTTATATTTACTGTCAACTTCTCAACTTCCGTATATATTTTCAAATTTTGATGACTTGTATCTCGTAACCTTGACTTTTGTAGACCGTCTCCTTTTCAATGTCCAAGGTCATTGACCTTGGCTATCTTCTGATACTTTCATTTGTGAAGTCTGTCTACTTCCGGTATAACAATCTTCCAAAGAATTTAAACTTCTCAACTTTAGACTGTTCTTGCACGTGACGTAATTATCGTAGAAGGTTGGTTTTGGAGTCTAATGCAATTTGTCACATTTGCAAAGTCCCACTCTGTGCCACGTGTGGCTCTAGTTTTTATTTTTTATATGATAATATATAATAAACGGTGACATTCTATATATGAAAATCATGTTAAGTAATTCCTTTGAAAATTTCAGACCAGGAAAGATTACACAGATTCTCTATAAAAGTCAGCAATACTGGAGGATGTGATCAAAGTACATTTGAATCAAGTCAAGTTTGTTACACAGATGAAAGTTCCAGACCACAAGATATATACACTGTATATGATTGTAAAGAAGGACAGTTTATATTTATTACAGTACCAGCACAAAAACTTCAAACTATTTGTGAGGTGAAAATATTTCAAGGTGATTTATTAAATTACAATATCGTTCACGACAATATGTGTGTGTTCGTGATGAATGATAGACTAAATGAATGAATGTTTGAAAGATAACTTATTTTTAAAAGGAGTCAATATAAAAAAAGGTTTTTTCCAATGCAATCTTATTAGAATTCGATTAAAATTTGGTTTGTGTTATTTTCGTCTACATTGTAATGAAACAAGTTTTCTACTACAGTCCCGTTCCAATCACAATATTTCTAAACAAGCGTGTGGTTAATAATTCATATATACTCTCTGTACAGAATTGACCTTTTTACTATATATATTTTATCTGTAGAAAATTTAGCATTTGGTAAAGATACAAGTCAAAGTTCAACATATTATGTACTATCATCATCATCAAATGCTGTAGATGGTAATACTGATGGCGAATGGTGGAATGGATCCTGTACACATACTGACTTTACTAATGGTCCCAAATGGTGGTGTGTTAACTTGCGGGCACCTGAACGATTTCACACTATTAGGTTGTATAATAGAAACGGCGGTGAGTATATAAATATAATAGTTTTACCATTACATTGAACTAATTAATCCAGATCTCACCGATTCTGTCTATTTTAATGCCTGGTAAAGTTTTGTCTTATTTATCTTCATTTTATATATTGTGATTTGATAAACAGTGACATGATTATGAGAAAATATGTTAAATAATTTTAAAATTTCAGCCAAGGAAAGATTACAAGGATTTTCTATAAAAGTAAGCAATACTGGAGGATGTGATCAAAGTACATTTGATTCAAGTCAAGTTTGTTACACAGATGAAAGTTCCACACCACAAGATATATACACTGTATATGATTGTAAAGAAGGGCAGTTTATATTTATTACAGTACCAGCACAACAAACTTTAACACTTTGTGAAGTGAAAATATTACAAGGTGATTTATTAAATTATAATATCGTTCACGACAATATGTGTGTGTTCGTGATGCATAATATACTGAATGAATGGATGTATGAAAAATAACTCATCTTTCAAAAGATCACTTAAAATACAATCTTATTAAAATTAGATTAAAAATTCCTTTGTTTTTTGTTTCTTATATTTCCGTCTCCATTGTCATCTAACAAGTTTTCTATCACAGCCCCGTTCTAAAGACGATATTTGTAACCGATTGAATCGTGTTGTCTATTTTTCATAGATACTTTCTGTACAGAATGTAGCTTTTTACTATAAGGGGCGACTACAATACTCAATTATATTAATGTCTTTAGAAAATTTAGCAATGAATAAGGAAACAAGTCAAAGTTCAACATTTTATGTAAAATCCTCATCATCAAATGCTGTAGATGGTACTACTGATGGCGAATGGGGACATGGATCATGTTCAACTACTAATATTCATAATGGTCCTGAGTGGTGGTGTGTTAACTTACAGTCAATTGAACTATTTCAAACTATTATGTTGTATAACAGGAACATTTGTGAGTATATACAGAGCCTCAGTTCAAGCGGAAGTCGGGTGTCACGGCTTGGGTTCTGAAATGTTACTTAATGGAAAAATCTATCCCTAGAATCTGAGTCCTAAATCTCGTGGTTCACGCCCTCCCACTGTAAAACAATATTACGTGCAAATATTCTCTTGCATTCAGTCACTCATTGAGGGTTGCCGCCCATAACTTAACCGTCTGTATGCTAGAGATTATAGACACACTGAGGATTGGTGCATATGATATTTAAAACCGCGTTGACTATTACATAAAACTAATTAATCGAGGTCCCACCAATTCCATCTATTTTAATGCCTGGTAAGTTATTTTATTATCAATAGGATATATGAAGATATGATAAATGGTGATATCCTATAGAGTAAAATTTGTTAAAAAATTACTTATAAAATTTCAGTCAGGGAAAGATTACAAGGATTCTCTATAAGAGTAAGCAATACTGGAAGTTGTGATGAAAGTACATTGGAATCATGTCAAGTTTGTTACACAGATGAAAGTTCCACACCACAAGATATATACACTGTATATGATTGTAAAGAAGGACAGTTTATATTTATTACAGTACCAGCACAACAACATCTAACTCTTTGTGAGGTGAAAATATTACAAGGTGATTTATTAACTTACAATATCGTTACCTATTTATCGTTTTTACATAGACATACTTAGCAACACCATTCTGAACTTAGGTAAGTGCATGATCATCATTGCGTACTGTACCACCAAGACTGTAGAGTATCTGAGTCAACATTCAGCAAAAGTTTGAGAAATTTGAGAAATTTTAGGAATTGAACTTCGGTGAAAAGCTGTCTTGATGTAAAATAATCTGTATATTGGTATGAGAGGATAACTATGCATTCCCTATTCTAATTTACACATATGATGTAACGTTAAAAGTTTAATTACCATTAAAGGAGCAAGCTTATCCCGCTGTACTGACAAAATGTCAATACATCATGTTGTCCCCTCCTTTGTAACCCCACTGGCACCGCTATTATTCAACACTCTTTCATTTCAAATCAAAGGGTAGAAAGGCATAAGGAATTAAGATAAATTCGTGCATATTTCACAGATTTTGCTTTCTATCCGCTCCCTTCTAATTGTAATAATAGTTATTTGTAACATTTTAGATCTCGAATGTAATGTTACATGTAAAGATGGAGTAAAATCTTCAACTGATGGACTCTTTGCTAATGCAACCGTTCCCCTCGACACTGAAGCTGAATGTAATGCTAAATGTTCAGCTACTATTGGTTGTACACTTAGTATGTTCTTCTACGGCAAATGTGAACTGTTTTTCAACTTTGCATATAAATCTATCAATTCCGTCGATGCCTGTCAACAGCTCTGTACTAGTACACCTGGATGTAAAACTGTACGACATACAGGTACTACCTGTTCTCTGTTTAAGAAACCCTTCGACCAATTTGTGGCGGATCCTCATGTTTCTGTCATGGCTTGTCTGAATGACGACGATTCACTTTGTATGTAGCGCCATAAATCAACTTTGGAATGCCTCGAGAAAGGACATTTTTTTTTTCAAATACGAACTATAATAAACCTATATCTGTCTGCATTATATCGTGCTATTTTTATCTTCCCAAGTCGCAATCATACTTTTCCGTATGGTATTTGTCGTAGGAGTCCAAAGATGAAGGGTGTCCATTTATGTACTGCCTTCCATTTTTTCACGAAACTCTGAAAATACAAATGTGTTTTACACTACCCGACAATTACTAGAATGGACATCAACAGAAAGGGGCATTTTAAAGAATAACAACAACCTGACTTTCTCTTCAAGTGTAATAGTCAACTTAGAACTTTACCATAATGGCCCAAAGTAATTAAGTCCCAGTTTGTTATCGAAGTGCCAATTTTTTTTTTCGATTTTTGCCACAGGGCACACAGCCTGGGCTTCGTCAGCTGCATCAAAATTTCTACATGTGTAGAATTTCTATAGTGGCAACGTTGTTAATGAATATAAATTGGATTATTTTGCAGAACCAGAAGTTCCAAAGTTCAACATGTTCAAAAAGTGATTAATTGGCTCTAAAAGTCGCATTTTTGCGTCGATTTTCTTCGGGTCTTCATTTTTGCAATGTTATTTCTGACATGGCAGCAGTTTAAAAAATTCAAAAAATCGAAAATTTGTCGCACACTGTTTTCGGCCGAATTTTGAAATATTTGACCAAGAAAAATAACTTTTTTGCTTTTTATCTGATTGATCTGAAATTGTTTGTGCAAAAATAGATAACTAAAGTTCTTAAGCCTTTATGCAATTTCCGGTTGAAATTTTTGAAAGTTGCAAGGCGCTAAATTTGTGACCTTGACCTTTGATCACCTTGACCTTTATAGGGTCATTTACCTTGGATATCAGTTGATGCATTCATATAGCGTCTACTTCCGGTTTTATAGTTGTCCCAAAACAGCAAAATTCGGGTTAATTTTTGTGGATTCTGAATGTGCTCATAGTGCTCTTTCATGTGATATATAACAATTGTTTTTTCATGCAAAATTGAAATTATTGATTTTTTTTAAATTTCGATGTTTTTATTACAATATTTTCGCTTCTTTGAGCTGGATATGTGCATATCTTATGACCTGTTTCGTGTAGAAGCTTGAAATGCGGGACACAACGAGACACTTTTTTTTTAATCTTTATTTACGTATATAAAATATTTACATTCCATGAAGGAGATACACGTTCAATATACAGATGGTTACAGATATTACTAACAACAGAAATGAGTAAATTCATGATAATTAATTCTTAATCTGAAGTCAACAAAACTATCGCCCCTATCAATCAAAACTCCATTTACTTTTAAATACATTTAAGTAATAAGCGCTAGGTGTAATGGTTAAGGGTATAGTTTTAAAGTTTATATCAGTAGTATATGTCTTTTCATATGGCAAGCAAAAATTACAGATTGGATCCAATCTTTCAATTGTATGATCCGATTCAATATTCGTTCAACAAGAAGAAAGAGGATTACTTAATCATCTCACCATCGGTAGGGACAAAGACCCAAATAAACGACGGAGGGAGAGTTACCTTTGAAATTAATTCGTTCTCCAATTGATTGGTGCTTTCCGATGCCCATTTCCGATGCGATTTCAAAATCAAAGACTCCACTCAGAATCGAGTTACACAAACTAACACGACGTTAAAAAACAATTTCTTTCCGTCTTTATTCAGCGAAATGGTTTTGGAAGCTGGTTCAAATCCGATAGAGACCATAAAACACCCCGGCGAGTTTGGCACAATGTTGAAAACGGTTCTATATCCCCAAAACTACGATTCAGTTTCGGGATGGATTCCCGATTACGGTGACGGAGAAGTTTTAAAAGAACCGGTCAGAACTGTAGCAAAGTCCCACTCTGTCTAGTATTTTAATTTTTATCATTTCAGTACTCAATCGTAACAACAATCCTCTTGGCATTGACAAAGTTTAAAAATATCCGACCTGGATGTAACATGTTCGCCGTCTTATTGGAATTACACACATTTCTTTAAATTGAAATAAGTTATTAACGGATTATCCGATTTGATTGATTTTGGTTTCAATGGAAGGTATGGTCTCGTACCAATTTGCTGTTGGCTGGTTTGCTTTGGTATCTTCGGATCAATCATCCGTAACATGTCAGCCAAATTTGGATGATCCTAGAAGATACGATACAGTAAAATGTCGAATATGAGTATCCTTCAGACTCAGACTTTCCCTGGCACAACGGTCTGCTTGATCATTTCTAGGGATGGACCCATACGACGAGATCCATACTAGTTCGATCCGGTGATTTAGTAGTTGTGAATCATTCTTCGTATTTCAGCGGTAACTTCTGAGATGCAACTAGGAGAAGTGAGAGAGATAAATTGCGGACTGATTTGTGAATCGGATGGGATTGCGGCATGCTGCGTGTAATGCGTCCTGATGCTAAGGAATTCTGCTGTGATCACTGAACAGTGAGAGGAGGCCCTCTACTGATGCGGGTGTAATATAAGCTGCTGACAACAACTTTATAGCTGACACAGATTAAAAATATCGACAATTGTTTTCGATGGTTGCCAGTTTAAAATTCATAGTATTTTATATATTCCAAGTGAATTTAATATATAATTAAATTCTATGATGTTTAAATTGATTTGTGTTGATTAAGAAGAATCATCCTTAATGATAAGGAAAATGGTAGATTGAACGTGGAACATATTCATATTAAAATATTTTCATTCCGTTTGAAATATACATAATGTTTGAAACAAATATGTCGATTAGAGAACCGACTAGAAAATGGTAGTAGTTTAAGGACTCTCAATATGTTCGCACAAAATTCCCCATTCCATTACATTTCATGGTGAAAGTGCGAAACATATTGAGAGGTCCCCAAAAAAAGACCTAAACATAAATTCATAAATTCTTACACCAAAAACACCTTCAACAATTCCCACTCCAAACACACCCTACATTCCATCAACCCCCACCCAATAAAGGACCTATTCACCCTACATTTCATTTTTAAATTAAACGAAAAAAGCATATTAAAAATACCCTTATACAAAATAACATCCCTTAACATCCGGTTATTAATAATGTAGCAACTTCTAGAAGGAAGATAACTCTTGTTTTAGAAAAAAACAGACCACAATTTCTTCGTTAAATTAACTCATTTAACAATAGGATGAGTTTAATTCTAAAACACGAACAACACAATTTCGAAGATTATTCGGGTGACGGTATCTTTTCGTCAATATTTTCTCTAGGTAAAACAATAATTCCAAAAGTAGCTAGCTTTGTTTCAAAAAACAAATCCCTCATTTCCCCGGAGGCTAAAGCTGACGGTTCTATCGCGGAAGCGGGAAAGAGTATAAGCGACACAGTGAAACAATCTGACGAGTTGATAAGAGATCTGCGAAACAGGAGACTAGAAGAAAGGAAAGGAAAAGGTTTTGAAGTTATAGGATAAAAATGATAGTCGAACACGCTCCAAAAACTTGGTTCAGGAGATATACAAAAATCATTGGGTTCTCTTCTTGGATTTCCATGGGCAAAATATCCCGGAGAAAAAAATCTTCCCGGTCATAATTACACTAGTCCAGGTACCAGGTTAGATCTGCTATTAGACGAAAACGATAAACCCAAACCGGGTGAAGAACCAGTCAATAGAGTTGACGCCGCTGCGCTTAAACACGACATACTATACAGAACTGAAGACATAAAGTTTAGACACGAAACAGACAAATGATAATCGAACTTGAAAATATTCCAAATCCAACTTTCAATTAATATGCCAGTCGAAAGAGGAAATAAATATTGCTTAACAGTTATAGATTTGTATACGAGATATGCTTGGGTTATTCCTTTGAAAAACAAAACAGGATTATCAGTCTAACATGCTTTTGAAACGATTATGAAACAATCTAGCCGACATCCAGAAAAACTGTGGGTAGATAAAGGAAGTGAATTTTATAACAAAAATATGAAATCTCTGGGATTTGAAATTGACAGCACGCATAATGAAGGTAAAGCTGTGATTATTGGGAGATATAATAGAACTCTAAAAATAGATTATTCAAAAAGTTCACGGAATTGAAGTCTCAAAAATGGCTTAAAATATTACCAGAGGTTGTAGATGAATACAATAACAAAATTCATTCATCTATAGGTGTCACACCAACACAAGACAGAAATAATCCAAATATTATAAAGTCAATTACCGCACAGCGTAACTACGAAAATGAAATAAGTAATTTTAATATTAAACCCAAATTTAAAATTGGAGATCACGTTCGTATTTTCAAATATAAAAGCAAATTCGAAAAAGGTTACGTTGGATACTGGACAGACGAAATATTCATCGTTGATAAAGTAAACACCACATCACCTCCGACATATGAATTAATCGACCAAGACAAAGAACAAATCATAGGTAGGTTTTTTCAAAACGACCTTCAAAAGACCGACTTTTGAAAATGAATATCTTTCTCGATAAATATGGAACTGATACAACCACAATCTTTCAACTTATGAGACGGTCGAATGAGTTAAATATATCACCGTTTTATTATTGTATGAGAGATGAAATAAATTATCTCAAATATAAGAAAGGAAAATTTTATGCTATGACAAATATACATACTTCCGATCAAAAAGGAGTTCATCATTCTGCTTTGTACAAAGACTCTTCAAATAACTTATATTTCTTTGATTCTTTTGGATTAGAACCAACTGAAGAGATAATGCAATTGACTAATCAACCAATCAAATGTTCAACATTTCAAATTCAAAAAGTTTTGTGGACAGCTTTCACTTTGGGTTTTATATCAGTTGAGTTTAAGAAAACAGTTTGAAGAAATTATAATAAATTTAACTCAATAAAAATGGCGAACAAGTTTGGATTAGGTTCTTTATCTTTAGAAACTAAAAAACCTAACACTACAGCGTGGATAAATAACGCGAAACCTTACTTTGTGGATCAAATCGGAGACACTCTCCAAGGTGATATAGATATGAACAATTTCAAAGTAACTAATTTAAAATCTCCGGAAAATGATAATGACGCTGTTCACAAGAAATATTTACGGGAACAAATAAATTCAATTGAACTAAACAAAAACCAATTAGAAGATAAAATAAGTAATGTGAAAAGATTCTTCAAACGTCAACCAAATAATAAAAATTTTGTTAATGATACTAAACTACAACAAGAGGTATAAGGTTTAATAAGTTTTATTCAAAAACAATTAGTCAACGTAGTGAACGTTTCAACAGGAATTAAATGCTCTGGAAACTAAACTTAACAGTGAATTACAAAAAGAACTAACAAATATTTAACAACAAATACAAAACATAGATGATAGCGAAATCAAAACCTATATTCAACAACAAATACAAAATATTGATGATAGCGAAATTAAAACCTGTATTCAACAACAAATACAAAATATAACCATTTAGAAATTTGCGTGATACAATGAATCTATTACTAATAATATTGATAAATCAATAATATATAAATATAAAATATATGGATTTTCACAATGTAAAACTAAAGAATTTGAAATTAACGACGAAAACAGCAAGCTTAATCAATTATTTAAAATTAAAACGAGTGGAAAATATATAGATAAGTTTAGAATGTTAACCATTCCAGATAAAGAATATGATTATTTTTCATTGAGTCAATTTCATATGATATTGGAGACGGAAACTCCACCATCAATGAATATTATTAGAAATCCAGAACCACAAAAAGAATATACAATCAATTATCAGTTTTTACGAGCGACAGACTTTGAATACGTAAAACGATATTTTGTTAGTAATAGTTATTCACTCAAACATTCCTCTTCAACTAATTTATTTACCTCAATCGATATTCATAAAAGTCAACAAGATAAAGAATTTATAATATTTTCATCAATAATTGAACGTAATGTTGGCACAGAAGTTGGAGGCATATATACCTTTAGATGTTCGATAAAAATCAATATCGAAAAACCAAAATTTTCAGTTCATTTGAATAAGATTAATGATTCGAAAGAACAAATATCGTTTGTATCTGTAGAAGTTTATATTTCCAAACCTGAAATAATTATAACAGATCATGAAAAAATAAAGCATGGACATCTTACTGGGCAACCTATTGTAGATGTTAAACACTTTCCATCTTTTGCTTTATCAGAAATTCATTTAATTTAATTACCTAAAAAATGGAACTAGAAATCGAACAAAACTACATGATAAAAAAACAAAACGAACTAAAAGAAAAACTAAAACACTTCAACAAATGCAGAAAAACATGTATTAGCCGCGTTCACTGCCATTCAAACTTCATCTTGAGGATTTATTACTTTAGGTTTTACATCAAAATAGAAATCTCATTATAAAAAGAAAACCGAAATTTTAAATCCATATCTTAATGAATTATTTATATTTTTTGAAAGATCGAGAGAAGATAAGAACATAACCATTGAAGAATTAGAAACAAAACCTTAGGCATTAAAGAATTAGAAGATAATTACGATGAAAATGTATGGAGAACTTGTAGAGATGATAATGCGGTAACACAGAGAACTTGTAGAGATGATAATGCGGTAACACGAGTTTCACCTCTAAAACTAAATGGTTTTCCAACAATTCACGATGATTGTTTATACGCATGGGATTGCGAAACCTATAGCGAAAAAGACACGAATAACGCAATTCCTTATTCTTGCACGTTAATTAATTTTAATTTAGAAAAACTAAGAAAAATGTTAGACAGAATAAAACATAACTTTCCAGATTTAAATCCCACTGATAGTGCTCAAGAAGAAAATTATGATAAATTAATGAATATAGTAGAAATATTTGTGGTTAAAGATTGCATTGATCAAATGTGGCAACGTTTAGGAAAAATAGATCAAAAATATTAACATTAATATCTCATAACGGTAGCGGTTTTGATAACTGGATCGTGCTTAAAAATGCGAAAAATCTAACGCAATTGGAAAAAATGGAAAAGACAAAAACAAATGATGGGCAACTCTAATTATTTGCAATATATTAATTTCATATGTTCCTATCAACATCAAAAATCTATCTATATACCGATGACTTTGAGAAAGATCACTGATATCAATATTGCAAAATACTGTAAACGTGCTGCTTGTTGGCCGGCTTGTTTGCTTGGTTCTACTTGCAAACTGCAAAGTACATCATTCTTACAAACTGTATACTCGTTTGTAAGAGACTGGATACGGACTTCTATCGGCTATGAATTTACTTTCCAAATGAGATAACAGCAAAGATATTAACAACACTTTATTTACATTCAATAACTGGAGATATACACTAATCCAAGAAGTATACCCAAGACTCTTAGAATATTAGAACGATCCGATCCCCAGCTAAAGAATGAATGAAAAGACTCCCAATACCCTAACTACACTCCTATTTATCTCTCCCCCAGATGGCCAACATATGAAATATTTCTAATATGCCTAACCGATTCCTTTTCTATACCCCTATAGTTCCTTAATCTCTCAGTGTCTCCTTCCCTACCGACATGGGATAGGACTCTTTTGTATACTACCATCTGTTTCTAATTACTTACATAAACACCACACCGATGTTAATTAAAAAGTGTTAAAGATTACAGATTAAAGGCTACCACCCAAGATTACCCTTATTTGACTATTACATGTTGAAGGTTACCCCCTTGATTCCCTATAGTTTACTTCTGGACTAATGTAGGTCTCTTACAACGATTAGCAATATTACAATACACCGAAGATAATTGGGAATCTTTAAGACATGAATGGGAATCTTACGCTAAAAGAGATACGTTATGTCTTGGAGCTTGTTTGATAAAATATAACAAAGTTATGAAAGAAGTTGTATTCCAGAATATTTCTAACAATCTAACGGCTCCTTCTTTATCTTTAAAGGGTTCGTATAATTTGTATCATTACCATACAGAAATGGTTGAAGAAGAATGGTATGAAACTACTAGAATGGTTCCAAAACACACCGAAAAAGAAAACGTCGAAGAAGTTTACTCACATACACACCCTTTAAAGATATTTTATCAGACAATCCATTAAAGGAGGGAGGGTTTCTGCTAACAGAAAATCATTTGAAACGAACAAAATGGATGAAGTTTGTAATGTATTAAAGGGGTTTAGTGAAATACGAAGTGATAATATAATTGATTTATATAAAGAATATAGTAAAAGTAAAAAAGATAAAACGGAAGTTAATTCAAAACTTAAAAAATAAAATGTACTAAACTAATGGCGTTCGACGCCAACGGTTTGTACGGTTCCGCCATGTCGGATTTAGACAGCGAATATCCTAAAGCGCAAAGTGGTAGACCGTTTCTACCAAAAGAAAACAAAGAATTTGTTAAGCTCTTTAATGAGCAGAAATTCAGACCTAGAACGGCTATTTTAAATGTCTAGTTTGAATATCCTACTAACATGTTCTTCCAACCCATACCAGCTAAAGATAAAATTAGGTAATAAGGAAACTGGTTCTAAAATCAGGTTTAGAAATGGTTTCTGTTCAGATGTTTTAACATCGGTCGATATTCAAGAAATAGTTAAAGCCGGTGGACGAATTATTGAAATATTAGATGGTATAGTGTACGAAGAAAATTTTAAACCTCCACCATATAGAGATTATATTTTTATTTTGAGAGACCTTAGAAATAAATATAAACGAGAAGGTAATATCGTAGGTAGTAATTGCATGAAATTATTAGGTAATTCGCTGTATGGTAAATCTATTCAGAAGGATTAACTACATCGAGAGACATCTATGGAATGAAGCAACTTTAAAAACCAACTTCGATTCACACGTCAAAAGCTATCCTAAAGTAAATGAGACTCAATATAAATGAGATAAATGAAGAAGAAAAAGAATTTGACAAAATACCTTTGGGGTCATTCATATTATCTCACAGTAAAAAAATAATGAATTATTTTATTCACATAATAGATGGATTTTATAAGCCGGAAATATACTATACAGATACTGATAGTTTATACATTTCATCTAGCAATTGGGATACATTAAATGAAGCTGGGTTGGTGTCCGAAAATGATTATTGTAAAAGAAAGAATGATTACGGTGATGGTGGAATTATATATGGTTTATATTTAGCGCCAAAAGTCAAATACAATATCATTCTAACTTCCGACGGTATTCTAAGAGAAAGAAAACGTTTAAGGTTAACTCTAATAAGAAGATAGGTGTAGAAAATTATATTCAATTAGCTAGCGGATATGATGTGACGAATGAATGTAACAAAAGATGGGAAAAGAGTTTCACCAATGGAATAGTTATTCCAAAGGATGATGATAAACAAAAGAAAGTTTTCAGAAGTTATCTGAATCTCGTTAAGAGAAAAGCACCGGACGAAGAAGGAATTATGTATCCTTACAAGACGGAAAAGAATTGATCATGGATGACAACTACAAATTTGATGATTTCGATTACCTTACTATTCAAGAAGAGAATGGAGAGTTAGTTCTTTTGTTTTAAATGAAGTTGAATTACAATTTCCTCGTTACCAAAATCTATAAACCTATTTTTTCCATCTTTGATTTCCAGATTTATATCTTTAATCATAAAGGAATTAAGTGGTAAATACGTTGTTTGAAATGGTTTCTCTATAATTCTATATCCAATCGGTACAGTGAATGTTGAAATTCTGTAGATAATCTGACATTTGTATTTGTTGAAAAATCCACCGTTCATCAAATTGCAGTGAATATTAATGACATCGATATCATTCTCGATATTACCTTTGTGTGGTGCTAAAGTGGATTGGGTGTATATGTCTTTATTTAGTATTTAATGAATTTTCTACATTGAAATGAACTGACTCATTTCTCAATATCAATTTTATTTTGTTCAGATCTAAATTACCTTCGAATTCAGTATTGTTTCTACCATTTAGACTTCTTCCATATTCAGAAAGGTAATCGTTAATGGCCACGTATTCGTAGCTTCCTGGTAGTAAACTTTTGGTTTTGAATGTAACCCCATTATCTGTTGATATTTTTATTTGGTTATTATTTTCGTTGATATTTCTAATGGAATTGTAAACAGTTAAATACTTTAATCCCAATTCATATTCTCGATTGCGATCGAGTTCATACTCATAATCTAGAGACAATTTAATGTGTGATTTATTTGAGGTGATAACGTATAGTTGTTCTTTATTTGACATTTTTAATGACGCTTTTATAATCATTTTTATCTATAATACCTTTCTCTGTGAGTCTTTTTAATATGCAATTTACTTCATTATATTGTCTGTGTGATCGATGACCTTCTTTCATTGGCGCTAATATTATTTGTTATCTATTAAGTAGTTCCTCGTTGTTGTCGGATAAAAACGTTATACCTTGTCCAGATACCATATCTTCGAATTCGTCTATTTCTTGTATGATTGGATTGTTGTCATAATCACCCGCTTCGTCAACTTTGTATTCATCATCATGTTCAATTGCTCTTATATATAGTTTAACCTCTTTCGATCTATTTGTTTCGGGTCCTGACTTTCTTATTGCATTTAGAAATTTTAAGTATTCTACTAAAATCATGTAATCGGCAATACCAGCATCCTTGCCATTCATTAAATCTATTAATCCTCTTGTTAATGTAAAAATGAAGTCTTTTGTATCGATTTTGAATTGTGGTGAATTTGGACTAAATATTATTTTAAATCCATTAAACAATAAACCTTATCAACAATTGGTGAAATCCTCTTTCGTGAATCTGGGTCAGAGTTTGAAAAATAATGTTTTATATCATCTAAGGTCGGTTTGGGTGATCTATATGAGGTTCTATACGAGGCGTGGATCTATATTCCAAAACTAATTTCTTTTTAATGTTGAGATTTTAATATTGGTTGAAATAAAGTTTGTAGATTTTCTGTCAATCCAAGGTGTTGTAATTTGTTATTTTCAACTTGGGTCTTTATTTTATTCTTAGCTTTGATATATTCTCTATTTCTTTTTAAAATATTATTCCAATTATCCATTTTTAAAAAAATAAAATTTAACAAATGTCTGTCATAACTCTTTCACCCGCAGGTTTTCTAGTATTAACAAATACATATCCATGATCATCTGGGTTTCTTCAGTACGTTTTACAAACCTTTTTAAATGTATCTCTATCGATTCCGTGATTTATCGACTGAATGATTTGAGATAAATCTTTTATCGTTTAATTCAAATAATAAAAAACAATTTGCATTTTTTCTAATGAACATAGAATCCATCCCGTAAAAGATTGGGATTGGTATATGCAGTGAGTTGTGATGTCTTCCTTTTGTAAAGAATTCTTGTTGAACAGCTTGATTTCTTTGCGCTATGCAATATAATGGATATAATTTCCAATTTACATAATTACCCCACCTATTATTCTCAACAACATTGTTATACTGAAGTACTCGTGTTTCGAATCCATGATTAGCTGCTCGTCCTACTCTTTCTATTTTGTTTCGAGTAATAACTCTCATTCTAGCTTCATCCGCATCGTTTGGAACATTTCTTATCGGTTCTTTTAAAACACTTCCAACACCAACATCGGGTATCCAGCCTGAAACTGAATCGAAGTCTTTAGGATATAAAACTGTTTTCAACATTGTATCAAATTCCCCAGGATGTTTAATGGTTTCTATAGGATTTGAACCATCTTCCAAAACCATCTCGCTAAATAAAGATGGAAAGAAATTGTTTTCTAACGTTGTATTAGTTTTTGGTACACGATTTTCATTGGGAGTTCCATCTTTTATTTTGAAATCGCATCTGAAATAAGCATCGGAAAGAAGCAACCAATTCGATAATGAATTAATTTCGAAGGTAATTCTACCCCATCATTCAACTGGGATTTAGAACCAACAGTCGGTGAGATGATAATATAATCCTCCCTTTTCTTGTTAAATGAATAACGAATCGGATCGTATAAGATTGAATCTAGTATTTTATTTGTCATTTTTAAGGTTTAAAATTTGAGTAGAAATTGTGGTCTGTTTTTCCCAAGAACTTCCTTCTAGAAGTTTCTACGTTATTAATAACCGGATGTTAAGCGAAACAAGGATGTTATTTTGTATAAGGGTATTTTTAATATGCTTTTTTCGTCAAAACTTAATTTAATGATGAAATGTAGGGTGAATAGGTTCTTTTTTGGGTGGGAGTTGATGGAATGTAGGGTGTGTATGGAGTGGGAATTGATTGGAGGTGTTTTTGAAATGTAGGGTGTGTAGGTCTTTTTTAGTGTAGGAATTTATGAAATGTGGGGTGTTTTTTGGGGACCTCTCAATATGTTTCGCACTTTCCCCATGAAATGTAATAATATGTAAAATACTAGAGCTACTGTGGCAAAAATCAACCTTCTAGGTTAATTAGGTCACGGGCCAAAACTGTCTAAAGTTACATTTTCTGTCTTTGGAAGGTTGTGAAACCGGAAGTAGACGTCAGACATCAGAAATGAAGGTATCAGCAAATAACCAAAGTCAACGACCTTCGACTTTGTAAAGGAAAAGGTCAACAAAGAAGAACGTCACGGGACATATGTCATCAAATTTTCAAAATGCATACGGCTATCAAACTGGAAGCTGTCATTGGAATTCAAATATGAAAGTATAGGTCTATAGCCTTCGTTCGTATAAAGGTCAAGGTCAACAAAGGTCAATGTCAAAAATTATTTGAAAATATCGAAATTCCAAAACCCGTTCCTTTTTTTTGAACTATTAAGCTGAAACAATTGAGCTTTTAGCACAAACTGTCCAAAAAATGAGGTAATTGTGTGCAAAGTTTAATATGCGAGTGATGCCCCTGTCCCAAAAAATCATTTAACCCGGATATGCCACGCCCACATCAACATTTTTGTCATAAGTTGTCATAAGTGTTTCGTTGTGTCCCGAATGTTGCGCAGAAGAATATCTGACATTTAATACTAAATTTTTTAACCCTAAGGAACCGGTTTGAACTGGTTTTCAGATATACAGAAACCGGTTTGAACTGGTTTCTGTATATGTGAAAAGACATATACTACTGATATAAACTTTAAAACTATACCCTTAACCATTACACCTAGCGTTTATTACTCAAATTTATTTAAAAGTAAATGTTTTGGTTGATAGGGGCTAAAGTTTTGTTGACTTCAGATTAAGAATTCTGGGAAATGTAACCATCTGTATATTGAATGTGTATCACCTTCATGGAATGTTTTTATAAAAAAAATAAGTGTATGGTTGTGTCCCGAATTTCAAGCTTCTACACGAAACAGATCATAAGATATGCACATATCCAGCTCAAAGAAGCGAAAATATTGTAATAAAAACACCGAAATTTAAAAAAATCAATAATTTCAATTTTGTATTAAAAAACAATTGTTATATATCACATGAAAGAGCACATTCAGAATCCACAAAAATTACCCCAAAGTTGCGAATTTTGCTGTTTTGGGAAAGCTTTAAAACCGGAAGTAGACGCTATATGAAAGCATCAACTGATATCCAAGGTAAATGACCCAATGAAGGTCAAGATGATCAAAGGTCAAGGTCACAAATTTTGAGCCTTGCAGCTTTCAAACATTTCAACCGAAAATTACATAAAAGCTAAAGAACTTTAGTTATCTATTTTTACACAAACAATTTCAGATCAATCAGATAAAAAGCAAAAAAGTTTTTTTTCTTGGTCAAATATTACAAAATTCTGCCGAAATCAATGTGCGACAAATTTTTAATTTTTTGAATTTTTTAAACTGCTGCCATGTCATAAATAACATTGTAAAAATTAAGACCCGAAGAAAATCGACACAAAAATGCGACTTTTGGAGCCAATTAATCACTTTTTGAACTTTGGAACTTCTCGTTCTGCAAAATGTTCCAATTTATATTCATTAACAACGATGCCACTATAGAAATTCTACACATGTAGAAATGTTGAAGCAGCTGACGAAGCCCAGGTTGTGTGCCCTGTGGCAAAAATCGAAAAAAAAATTGGCAATTCTATAACAAACTGGGACTTAATTACTTTGGGCCATTATGGTAAAGTTCCAAGTTGACTAATACACTTCAAGAGGAAGTCAGGTTGTTGTTATTCTTTAAAATGCCCCTTTCTGTTGATGTCCATTCTAGTAATTGTCGGGTAGTGCATAACACATTTTTATTTTCAGAGTTTCGTGAAAAAATGGAGGGCAGTACATAAATGGACCCCCTTCATTTTTGGACTCCTACGACAAATACCATACGGAAAAGTATGATTGCGACTCGGGAAGATAAAAATAACACGATATAATGCAGACAGATATAGGTTTATTATAGTTCGTATTTGAAAAAAAAAAAACAATGTCCTTTTTCGAGGCATTCCAAAGTTGATTTATGTCGCTACACACAAAGTGAATCGTCGTCATTCAGACAAGCCATGACAGAAACATGAGGATCCGCCACATATTGGTCGAAGGGTTTCTTAAACAGAGTACAGGTAGTACCTGTATGTCGTAAAGTTTTACATCCAGGTGTACTAGTACAGAGCTGTTGACAGGCATCGACGGAATTGATAGATTTATATGCAAAGTTGAAAAACAGTTCACATTTGCCGTAGAAGAACATACTAAGTGTACAACCAATAATAGCTGAACATTAAGCATTACATTCAGCTTCAGTGTCGAGGGGAACGGTTGCATTAGCAAAGAGTCCATCAATTGAAGATTTTACTCCATCTTTACATGTAACATTACATTCGAGATCTAAAATGTTACAAATAACTATTATTACAATTAGAAGGGAGTGGATAGAAAGCAAAATCTGTGAAATATGCATGAATTTATCTTAATTCCTTATGCCTTTCTACCCTTTGATTTGAAATGAAAGTGTTGAATAATAGCGGTGCCAGTGGGGTTACAAAGGAGGGGACAACATGATGTATTGACATTTTGTCAGTACAGAGGGATAAGTCTGCTCCTTTAATGGTAATTAAACTTTTAACGTTACATCATATGTGTAAATTAGAATAGAGAATGCATAGTTATCCTCTCATACCACTATACAGATTATTTTACATCAAAACACCTTTTCATCGGAGTCCAATTCCTAAAATTTCTCAAATTTCTCAAACTTTTGCTGAATGTTGACTCAGATACTCTACAGTCTTGGTGGTACAGTACGCAATGATGATCATGCACTTACCTAAGTTCAGAATGGTGTTGCTAAGTATGTCTATGTAAAAAAGATAAATAGGTAACGATATTGTAAGTTAATAAATCACCTTGTTATATTTTCACCTCACAAAGAGTTAGAGGTTGTTTTGCTGGTACTGAAATAAATATAAACTGTCCTTCTTTACAATCATATACAGTGTATATATCTTGTGGTGTGGAACTTTCAACTGTGTAACAAACTTGACTTGATTCCAATGTACTTTCATCACATCCTCCAGTATTGCTTACTTTTATAGAAAATCCTTGTAGTCTTTCCCTGACTGAAATTTTATAAGTAATTATCTAACAAATTTAACTATATAGGATATCACCATTTATCATATCTTCATATATCCTATTGATAATAAAATAACTTACCACGCATTAAAATAGATGGAATTGGTGGGACCTCGATTAATTAGTTTTATGTAATAGTCAACGCGGTTTTAAATATCATATGCACCAATCCTCAGTGTGTCTATAATCTCTAGCATACAGTCGTTAAGTTATGGGCAGCAACCCTCAATGAGTGACTGAATGCAAGAGAATATTTGCACGTAATATTGTTTTACAGTGGGAGGGTGCGAACCACGAGATTTAGGCCTCGGATTATACGGATAGATTTGTCCATTAAGTAACAATTCAGAACCCAAGCCTTAGCGCTATATATTGAAATAATGCCGATATGACACCCGACTTCCGCTTGCACTGAGGCTCTGTAAATACTCACAAATGTTCCTGTTATACAACATAATAGTTTGAAATAGTTCAATTGACTGCAAGTTAACACACCACCACTCAGGACCATTATGAATATTAGTATCTGAACATGATCCATGTTGTACCATCTACAGCATTTGATGATGGGATTTTACAGGAAATGTTGAACTTTGACTTGTTTGCTTATTCATTGCTAAATTCTCTAAAGACATTAATCAAATTGAGTATTGTAGTCGCCCTTTATAGTAAAAAGCTACATTCTGTACAGAAAGTATCTATGAAAAATAGACAACACGATTCAATCGGTTACAAATATCGTCTTTAGAACGGGGCTGTGATAGAAAACTTGCTAGATGACAATGGAGACGGAAATATAAGAAACAAAAAACAAAGGAATTTTTAATCTAATTTTAATAAGATTGTATTTTAAGTGACCTTTTGAAAGATGAGTTATTTTTCATACATCCATTTATTCAGTATATTATGCATCACGAACACACACATATTGTGAACGATATTATAATTTAATAAATCACCTTGTAATATTTTCACTTCACAAAGTGTTAAAGTTTGTTGTGCTGGTACTGTAATAAATATAAACTGCCCTTCTTTACAATCATGTACAGAATAAACATCTTGTGGTGTGGAGCTTTCATCTGTGTAACAAACTTGACTTGAATCAAATGTATTTTGATCACATCCTCCAGTATTACTTACTTTTATAGAGAATCCTTGTAATCTTTCCTTGGCTGAAATTTTAAAATTATTTAACATATTTTCTCATAATCATGTCACTGTTTATCAAATCACAATATATAAAATGAAGATAAATAACAGACAAAACTTTACCAGGCATTAAAATAGATAGAATCGGTCAGATCTGGATTAATTAGTTCAATGTAATGGTAAAACTATTATATTTATATGCATGCTCACCGCCGTTTCTATTATACAACCTAATAGTGTGAAATCGTTCAGGTGCCCGCAAGTTAACACACCACCATTTGGGACCATTAATAAAGTCAGTATGTGTACAAGATCCATTCCACCATTCGCCATCAGTATTACCATCTACAGCATTTGATGATGATGATAGTACATAATATGTTGAACTTTGACTTGTATCTTTACCAAATGCTAAATTTCTACAGATAAAATATATATAGTAAAAAGGTCAATTCTGTACAGAGAGTATATGTGAATTATTAACCACACGCTTGGTTAAAAATATTGTGATTGGAAAGGGACTGTAGTAGAAAACTTGTTTCATTACAATGTAGACGAAAATAACACACACCAAATATTTTCACTTCACAAAAAGTTTGAAGTTTTTGTGCTGGTACTGTAATAAATATAAACTGCCCGTCTTTGCTGACTTTTATAGAGAATCTGTTTAATCTTTCCTGGGCTGAAATTTTCAAAGGAATTGATTAACATAATTTTCATATATAGAATGTCACCGTTTATTATATATTATCATATAAAAAATAAAAATAACAGACAATGCATGGAATCGTTGAGATCTCGATTAATAAGTTTAATGTAATGGTTAAAGTCGTTTTAACTACCATATTTAATACTCACAGGAGTCACTATTATACAGCACAATAGTTTGAAATCGTTCAGGTGCTAACAAGTTAACACACCACCACGCGGGACCACTCTTTTGATTAGTAACTGCACAAGAATCATGATACCAATTTTGATCAACATTACCATCTACAGCATTTGATGATGATGATAATATAGCATATGTTGAACTTTGTCTTGTTTCTTTACCCACTGCTATATTCACTTTAGACAAAGTTAGAATTTAGTATAATAGTAGGCCTATAGATTAAAAAGCTAGATTCTGGCAATTACGCTTCGATTGGTTTAAAATATCGTCATAGGAACGGGACTGTGGTAGAAGAGATTTTTTCATTTACTATTATTTGAAAATAAATTATTTTTCAAACATTCATTCATTCAGTCTATCTTGCATCACGAACAGATACACAATGTCATGAACGATAGCAAAAACTAATTTTTTATACAAAGTATCTATAAATTATAGAAGTCAAGAAAAGTACATTATGTTTTGACACAATTGTCTATTCCTGATTTTAAAAATCACATTTTATTTAAATACTGAAAAACGACAAACAAAAATCTTAATTAAAAACCAAATTTAAATAATGACTTAATTGTCTATTCCTGATTTTAAAAATCACATTTTATTTAAAAACTGAAAAACGACAAACAAAAATCTTAATTAAAAACCAAATTTAATTAATGATTTAAAGCACAAACTAAAGATAATAATAATTCAGAAGGCAAGAGTGATAAATAGTGAAGATAATATATTTATATCTTGAACGAAACTGTTTTCTAAATATTACTAACCTAAAGCTCTGACGTCTAAACTGTAGGACAATAAAGTCAAGCCGACGAGTTGACTGAAGAACACTGTGACAATGACTTCTGTAGGTAACTGTTAACGAGTTAAAACTTACTATTAAAGGCTGCATTTATATAGCAAACACCATTGAATAATTTATTTATTGGAACATTCTATTAATCAATTTTGTAAACTCATGCAGTAAAGCCCGACATTCTATTTTTAGTTAATCATAGGTATTGGAATAATAATAATAATAAGTAGAAATATAAACAGTTGCAAATGTCGCATGATACCTTCTCCTATGGCTCTTGGACCCTCTGGCTTTTAAGCTTGGCATAATTATGCTTTGGGACATTTTCTAATAAATTCTGTGAACTCATGGAGTTAAATTAAATCTTTAAAAATTGATGCTTACCTTGCTAAAAATAGACTTACCTTTCGGGACAGAAGGGTGTTTTTAACTTTTATACGCCCACACAATAATGTTTGCCACAATTGTTGTGGACAGAGAGCTGGTTTCTAGATGGATTTTGACAAAACGTGGTGTGGGAGTTGAACCCTGTGGAAAAACAGACAAATCGAAATTTATTTTATATTAGTTTTTGACAAGCGTTCCATGTATTGGGGACACGGTAGAGAGCTGGTTTCTTAATAGATTTTGGCGAAACTTAGTGTGAGAGTTAGTTATCACGGAAGGTTGAACCCTATTTTAAAATCAGAGTTATTGCCCATGTTAAAAACCGCGTTCAATATTTTTGTGAACACGATAGAGAGTTGGTTTCTTGAATTTGGTGTCAATGATTGTTATCACTCTTGGATGAAAATCAGATAACTCAAGAAAATTATTTCGATATAAGCTATTGCCCTTGTTCTTAAAAACACGTTCATTTTTTTGTAAATGTGTTGTGGACACGATAGAGAAATGAAGAAGGCACAATTCCTGATGGATTTTGACGAAACTTGGTGTAAATGTTTGCTATAAACCAAGGATGAAACCGTAGCCTGTAAACACTCTAAAAGGCCCAGTTCTTGACGATCTTTATCGGAATTGGTAATATTATACAGTATCGCCCCAAAAAAGTTCAAAAGAAGTGTACGACTAGTTTTATAACCGTACTGCCAAATATTTTTATTCAAAATCAAGCTGCCAGTGGGCATAACCTTGCCTGGTACGCTATCTTGGTAAAATTTGATGTCCGTGTTTGTTTTCACCTAAGGATGAACCCTATTGAAAAACAGACAAATTGAAAAATATTAGATTTGAGTTATTGCCTTTGTTCTTGAAAACTCGTCCAATGATGTACCCTATAGATGTTACAAAAAAAAACTAAAAAGTATTTAATGAGCTATTTCCCTTGTTCTTGAAATCACATTCAAGGCAAAATTTTCAACATATTTTAAAGAAACTTTAATGAAACATTGACTTCCTGCTCAAGAGATTCCCCTGATTAAAAATGCGATTATAGGAAATATATGATAATTTGTATATCTGTTTATTTAAATGTTCTGATCACAAACTAAACGTAGTGTAGTTTGTAATGTGACGTAATGGATTGTAACTGAGTTTCTAATTTTTCCTTTTCTTTTTTTTCCTAAGTCCACATAGCTTTAACTGCGATAGCGGCCGCAAATTCACTGTCTTGGCGACGTGTTCCTGAAAAATAAAATAAAGCATTGTTGTAAAACCTGAGTGTAACATTGCAACATATGCAAAAGGCAGACAATTAGCATAAGAGGGCGCATTTTTGAAGAATTTTTTTTCGGATTTTCATTTTTCGAATATTCAGATATATCCGACCTTGTAGCACTGGTAAATATTACGAAATAAAAATCTCGTCAAAAGAATGGACAAAGCAAGAGTAAAAATATTATAGTAATGGACTCCTCCAAAGAAGACCCAGGTTCGTCCACAATAACTTGTAATCACTATAGAAGATTCTTTCCGAATATTTTTTTAAGTGTTTGTAATCACTTGGGTCGTATACAATTCTCAACTAAAGTGAAATTCTAATGAATATATAAATAACTCAAAACAATAATACAGCATTGCTAACTGCCAAGCTTAGGAAAGATTAAGAAAGGCAAACTGGTCAGTCAGTTCATTTACACTAAATAGGCGTTCTATAGATTACACTAAAGGTGCTATCTGTGGCGAGTTCGGTTTATCAAATATTACCATTTCATACATTGATCAGTTCCCAATGCATATAAATGCAGTTAAATATGCAATTTGATTAAAATGTTGATCTAGAATTTTTTTTTGTTTTTTTCTGTAGGTACCTACACCTTTTATCTACCTTTTGTCTATGATCTGAAAATATTCGTCTGTAAATCATACAAATACAAAATACCTGACCATTAATATCAATATTAGACATTTTCCGTACCAGTCTATACTAGTCAAAATATACATGTACATTTATTACAACATAATTAATTGTTTTGTTCTTAAAAATGTTCCCCTAAATGCTGCAGAATTCCTCATCAGTTAGAAATCGAAAGATAGTAGGCTAATGCCGTTATCCTGGCCAAATTTCCCTCGTTGTATACTGCGTCTTTATTCGTCCAAATTCGTGCAGCAGAGTAGGACGTACAATTTCCTTCACATAAAATTTTCACACTTTTTCAGTGTATCTGTCAACAAAATCATATCACAGATAAATATCGTGCGGTTTTCTCATTACAACAACTGTTTTTTAAATTCTGTGTCATATTTCCTATTATACAGATTTTAAATTACCATGATCTAAACTATATTAACAGATGTTATCTCTTGCGTTGCCTTTTACAGATAAATGTAGATGTAAGGTCTAAATAAGGTTGGCAGGGTGTTCTTGCAAACATGCTATTTTAATGGCATCTTGGGAGTGAAAGTCCGTTACGCTTGACGCACCCAAATTGATTCTGAGAACTCGGTGGTGTATAGATGGTGTATGATGTAATAGAAGGACTTTTCGGTTGCTCACCAGTCAGTATTGGATAAGAATCGCAGTATGTGGAGAGCTTTAAGGCATTTCGTTTTGAAGATTTTGATGTAAGGACTAACAGAAAGCTTGCAGTCAAAAGTATTGCCCGACACCAAAAACTACTTTCAACTGCATACGTAAAAATAAACAAATTAACCCTTTTAAAACAAATTCAGGTTGATCAAGTTTATACACGGCAAATAATATATATTAAAAATATTTTGTATAATATAGAATTCAATTATTGTCTAGCCAAAGTTAATAAAGTAAAATGTATTATATAATATACTTTTGATTTAATGATTCACAGACGAAAATTCAATTATGTAAGCTTACCGAAGACCATTGCGTTGCTAACAATCTACTTGAATTTCACATATTAAAATTTTACTTTTCGTGACAAAAGTGTCTATAATTAAAAAACACTGCCAAAATTGAGAATGATAACCTAACATTTACGTCATATTAAGATTTGTGGCATTTTTTCGGCCAAATTAATTTGTCAACAGTTTTTGTTGGCATGCACGTTATTATTGAAATTGTACATTTTATGATCAAATTCAAATAAATCACTTCTCATGCAAAATGGCATATTCCAAAATAATAAACTTATAAACGCGAATATGCCAAACAAGGGGAGTTCCTTTAATTAGTTGATGTAGGTAGGTGTAGTTTGATTAAATTGCAGATCTTGATGTTTTGTTTCGGTTATTTTCTGTGGTTTGCAACACCTCATATCCATGATCTGACAAAATTAGTCTGTAAATCATATTCGGTTGGATTTCGCCCAATGGTGTCATAATCATACATCAAAATTTTGCAAACCAATCAGAAACACTCCAGTGTTAAACATGACACAATAAATCTGGCTCTATCAGTTCATCAGACATGATATACGGATGTGATTTCATCACTAATACGGCAAAACACAAAATGTAACTTTTTAGGCAATTGAAATTTGTCACTTTCGTATCCCCAGTTTTCCAGAATTGTCACCATGGTAATAGCAATATTTGACATAAAATTTTGTAACTATACAAAGCTGATCTACTAATAATTTCGCGTTTGTTTAACGATGTGTTCTTTAAGACATTTATGACGTAAAGCTTTTCAGTTCAACATTTGTTACATCCTCAGGTGTTCTTTGTGTAGGCTTGGCTCTGCAATCAACAGGCCGGATAATTTGAAATTATATATTTCTGTTTAGGTTGTCAAATCTGTTTTGGTTGGCTCAATGTAATTTTCTTATTTTTAATATTTAAACGACTGCATGGGATTTTAAATATTAGTTGCATCAAATGGAAATCGATTTGTCACGCTTTGTTTCTTTCTGTATATTGCAGTGCGTTCGTTATGCTTTGTTTTCGTAATTTCAAAAAAATATAGATGATTTTGTGTCGCGTTGTCTACACTGTAATAGTTTCTGCGACATTTGCAATGCATATGACCTACCTCTGCAGCGAATAAATAAATATAAATTGGAACATATGCATATTATGAAAAAAGAAACAGATTGGCTCTAGAAGGCGTATTTTTGGAGCGATTTTTTTTTTTTTTGGGTTTCTCGCAAGAATATCCAATATGATAGCAGTTAAAAATGTTAAGAATTTCGAAAATTCACTACACATATTTTTGAGCTGAATTTTGCAAATTTTGACCAAATTCTTCTATTTTCTCGGCTATTTGTCCGATTGCATTGACAGATCACGACAGAAAACAAATTGGCATAGTTAAAAAAATGGTATCAGTTCCGGTTTTCACGAAATTAGGTGTAAACTTTTAGTTGACCCACTTCCCGTGTAAATGTATGAACGTCACTAAACCTTATACTAATAGGTAACTATCCTAATGACTTAGAAAACCATTTACTAGACACGGAAATTTGCCGTCATTTTTATTTTACAGATATACATCCAAATTATTTTCATCTGATTTTGACGACTTTGGTGTCAAATTGGAAAAAATGAAGGAAGTCAAATTTTGAATGTTGCCTTTACTTTTTTGCAATTTACGGTTGAATTTGTTCAAAGTTAGAAAACTCATGTCTGGTGACCTTGACCTTGGGTGACATTGACCTTTACAGGATTAAAGGTCATTGAACTTAGCTATCAGTTCTTTATTTGGAATAACCTTCCTTTGGTGAAACTCTTTTCCCATCTTTTCTGGAATTCATCATGTCCACTAGCCAACTGAATATAATCGTCTACACATATCTTATCATAAGAATAACTTTTAAATGTTTTTTAAATACCACCAGGAGTTAGAATGATATGGTATTTGACTTTCGGTGCTAAATATCAACCGTATATAATTCCATCATCGCCGTAATCATTTTTTCATTTACGATAATCATTTTCAGATACTAATCCAGCCTCGTTTTATTTATTCC